GAGTGAATCCATAGCGTAGATGCCTGGACTTTCCAAATCGCATTCAAAAAGAGCTGCGGCATGCTGAACAAAGCAGAGGGACATGAACCGGCCTAGCCAAGACCGTGAAAATGGCTCCGGCAGGACTTTCTTTGCCTATAGGGGTTCCTCAAGGATTTTGAGGGATAGAGGGAGCCTGCGGGGCATTACGGGGCATTCTTTTATAATTGGCAGCCCCCTATTTCTGCCAGAGTGGCAGGCCAGTAGCTGCGAGGCATTTCATTTCGTGGCACAAGAAACCGTACGTGGCAGTTGTGTTCTAGAGGTCCAGATGCCTTAGCCAGTTGCCCACTGCAGTTCCATCATCATGGACTCACCTAACACAGCACTACTGCAAATAACAATTGAATCCTGAAACTAGAAAGCCAACCAACCACGTAAGAATGAGAAAGCATTTCACCTCCCTGCACCCTGCGAAGCTTTACAGACCTCCATCTCCCAAATCAGATGAGCTACAGTAAATCCCTTAAAAGGATGTAACAAGGGATTATATAGGGGACTACTATAGGGCGAGGAAGAGGGGTACTAGGAGTTTAGACTAATTATGGCTAATATGCATGTCCCAGGACTACGGATTCTCAGACCCTCTTCCCCCATTATTCCGACATGAACTTATAGAGGAGCAGAAGTCCGACCAGTTCTCGCTGATAGACGCCGCACAGCTTGAGTGAAGTTGGTTTAAAGGCTGTAGGCAGCCCTGAACCTATGAGTCCGGATGTTTCGGTCTGACCTCCTACCTGCCCGCTTGAAATCGGAATTTGCTCTGTCAATTCGAAGGGATCGGCGGGGGGTTCTGATTCAGTATGGAGGCTCCGGGCACCAGATACTTGTGGTGCCTGCATATATGAACTATAGCCTAAAAACCTTAAAAGGGGTTATACCGGGTGTTATATTGGGGAGCATTGGGAGGTTATTCAGGGGGATACTAGTAGTTAAAGCTATGGCTCATACGGGGGATCTGGTTCACCACCAACGTTCAAGGCAAGTTCTTGGCAGGTCATTTCTCAGAATCAGCTTCTGTCCTAAGGGATCTCATTTTAAGCATTGGAAGCTTCATGAGTCTTCTTAAGCGGGTCTAGAGGCCCTCCAGCTAGTACGGCTTCAACAGCTGAAGCCCAACAAGGACAACCGCTAAAATGACATAAGATGGCAACCGACAAAATGACATAAGATGATCAATCACCAACAGTAGCCCAGCCGAATTTGCTGCGGCATACATTTGCAAATTAAGGGGTGTTGTCCAAAAACTCATGTTTTTTTTCCGAGAGACGTGTATCTGGAAGGGAATTCCAGGGAGCCACGGTTTCGATTGCCTCTTGCGAAGCGTGAAACATGCATTTGTGACCGTCAACCCCTAGTGCCGCAAGTAAATCTCAGCTGCGATTCAATCGCAGCAGTGCTGATCCCCAACAATCAGAAGGAAAAGTCAGAACAACTAGGGAAACTTTCCGCGCTTGGGTAGATTAGTCTAATCGTTCCAGCCGTGCAGACTTGTTTAAACGTAGCTTCCCTCACCCGTTAGCAACCACAGTGTCCCCCAAAGTGAGGGAACAGCCCTAAACCCTAAAACCCTAAAACCATAAACCCTGAACAGTTGGCTAAGGATGCGGCATCGCTAGCAGAGGCCTGTGGGGAAGCACCTGTCACCACAAGCGGCTTCGGGTAATTCTCAGACCTTGGAAAGTCTGCCCTGCCCGACGGTTTAGGGTTTAAGGTTTAGGGTTTAGCGGCCCATCTGGGTACATGGTAGTTTCTCAAAATGAGGGGGACCGTTTTTGAAGGTCCTTAGAATAAGGATTATAATCATATGGGGGTCTATGTTGGGGCTGCCCTATTTAGGGAAACTACCACATAGTCTAAACTCCTTAAAGGGGGGTTATATGGGGGATGATAGAATTTTATAGGGGAGCATGTTAGGGGTTATTATGGGCGATACTAGGAGTTGAGATTATAGCTCATGTAGGTACATAGTCTGTACTTGGGCCCTATAAGTATATACCCTATACCTACATGGACCCTTTGGGCTGATAGAAGAGCTTCTTCCGGGCTTGAGGTAAGTGCATCCCAGACTGTAATTCTTCACCAGTCGTGAGAATTATTGTAGGGTTTCCCCAGCATCCCCAAGACCCTAAACCCCAGCCTCTATGCGCGCTTGCACTTCAGCTGTGGGGCCTTAGCGTGCCATGTGTTGGCCCTCCTGAAGCTAAGCTTTGCTCTGATTCCTTATAATACAAACTGTCAAGGACCATCAGTCCAAAACGACCCCCGGCCCCAAGCCCATGACCCTAACCGCCTACACGCATGTAATCCCCTGAGCCGCAACACTGAAAATCCAAAGCCCCCAATATACTGTTGTGGTTTCCAGTTGAATTTTCATTATCCCAACATAACCCCCAATATAGTATAGTAGTTTCCCTTTTATTTCGCATTATAAGCCTTATAAGTCCTTCAACCCCATGGAGGAAGGGGAGGCGAGCTTGGTGGCAAGAGCCGCGCAGTCTCTTGACAGAACTTGCGCAAGCACGGTTTAGGGTTTCAGTTTAAGAGTTTGGGGTTCAGCGCCCCTCATAGCAGTCCCTGTAAAACACTATAGCAGTTTCCCTCCTGTCCAGCTAAACGCCAGTAAGAAAAGCGGGAGGATGGAAAAGATGAGAGGGTATGTTTGGGGCCAGACAAGTCTCTTTAGACATGCCCATGTTGGATCAACTTCCGGGGCTCTTTTGCATTTTGCGAAGTCGAGCACACGCGTGAAGTTCTCTATTCTCTACATGCCTGACATGATGATCAGTTGAGTGTTCTCCGTCTAGGCTTTTTGTTGCGAACTTTTTGGCATCTGCAGTGTGTGGGCATGCTGTTTGGGGTGTTGGGTTCGGGGGTCAGCTAGGAGATGCCGGTGTTCAAGCAGCTCATCTTGCCTGAACATGTTGATCATGTCTTCTGTCGATTGCGTTTAAAGCCTACACCCTAAACCCTAGCTGTAGCTGTAGTTGTTGGATGTTGCTGGTTCATGGGGTTTGAGGCTGTTGGGTCCATTCCTGAGGCCGCTTCTGGATGCCAAATAGCTTTGTCCTTAGTGCTTGAAAGTCAAAGGGGATGGGTGGGGATGGTTCTGGAAGACTCTCCCTATCCTATCTATCAAGCGGTCAGCAGTGACCAGCATGGGTAGATACTGTGCGTAGGACCCTGAATTCCAAACCTTGTACACCCCTGATCCCTGCAGACTACGCTATGCAGCTACCTGAACTATAGTCTAAACTCCTGAAAGGGGGTCATATGGGGGCTTATATAGGGGACTACCATAGGGGATATTAAGGAGAATACTAGGAGTTTAGACAGTAGCTTACCTGAACCCTTTGAATGACCAGGTCGAGATTTCTTCCACAGTACCCGACTGGGCCTGCCACGTGCGACGGAACGCAGCTGCTTTGCTGGGAGTTTAAGGTTAAGTGTTGGGGTTTTTCGGGTTTGGGGACATGTTTACTGGGTTATAGTCATAGGTGGCATGGTCTAGGGCTATGTTTCAGGGTTTTCGGCTGAACCCCATGACCTACAGGGAAGTGGGGCTTCGGGTGTAGTGGGAGGGTGTAGGATTTGGGGTAGTTCTTGCAGGCTTTAGCTCCACAATCTTCGCTGTGGCTGAAACCTCCACCCTAAAGCCTCAAACGTTTTACAAAGCCAGGGCTTCAGTCTGAAGAGTTACAGGAGGAGTACTCATGCAAATCCAGGCAGATAGGTCCAATAGAGGTCAGGATAACTTTCTGAAAACGTACATGTCAGATCTGTCTTCCATGCTACTCCCAAGTCAGCCTTTCTACGTGGCTTCATAAGCCTTCCAGCAACCCTCTTGGACCCACGCCGAAGGGACATGGTAGTTTAGGGCCAAAGCCTCGGGACATTTGGAGTTCTTGGGATGTTCTGCGTTAAGGGGTTACGGCTCGGGGTTTGCAAGGTTCGGGGTTTCGGGGTGTTTAGGTTTGAGGGGATTAGGGGGGGAGGGGGTGTAGATTAGTAAGGAAGTACTTAAGTAGTATGGAGGCCTAAGCAGGTACCTTTTTGAGCCCTGGTATATACTTTTTAGTTACTGGACCCATCGGGAATGACTTCGATGGTCATGGTCACAGAGGGTCCAGGTAGCAGCGTAGAATTAACATCATACGTATTCCAGGTAGCTAGGTTGAGGTTAGAGTATTGTCTAGTGAGTCCATGTGACGTTCAACAGCACGTTTAGAACACGTATTGAGGCTGCGGGTATGCCGGTGTGTATACTCTGCCTTGGACCAACTTTTCAGGTGCAGTTGTTTTTGTTGCAAAAGTCTTTGTACCGCTTACAGAGTCCCTGAGACATGTTATGGCATTGATGTGGCGGAGCGGCATGTGGGCAATCCTTCCGCTGAGAAGTGCGCACTCTCTTTCTTGGCCAAAGGGCTCATGAAGGTACATAGTATGTACTCATAACCCAAAGCCCTCTACCTGCACCCTTAAACCATGTACCTTTTGTTGGTTTCAGGCCCGCGACCTCAAAGTTTAGGGCGACCAATTTTCTGGAGCATTAGGATGATAGTGTTCAAGGGTTCATGGAACACACCATGGCTGAGCCCAAGACATGTGGCCAAGACCTCTAATCTGAAGAAGCAACTACGAAAAAACCCAGACAACCCTGGCCTGAGGCGGAAAATCACCCAGAAGCGTAACAGCATAACCCACAAGAGATGTACCCCCTTTAACCAGTAACAACTTTTGCAGGCCTTGTCATCAACTTCATTTGCCATCGCGCAGACAATGCATGCGGGTGGCTGTTGGGAACACGAAAACTTGGAGCATTGGCATAAAGCAATCTATTCGGGCCATGTATGTTTCTACTCCGTTGGGGTTTAGCACATCAGCTAGCCATCCTCCATTCTTTCTTCAACTCCACCCTGTACAGCTCCAAACGCCTAGCACTCGCCGTGGAGGAATGGAGCTCACGCATAGGCCGGCTGATCTTGCCTATGAAATCCTCCCCACAGGGCGTTGCCAGCATGGCAGGGTTCAAGATGTACACAGCTGTCTGATCTGAAAGCCAGCGCCGCAAATCTAACCAAAGATGCTTCAAGTAATGAAGCTTTGGCACCAGGACATAGTGGCATTTCATCGCTTTGAAAGACCACTTGGCCAGCGCCAAATAACCGACCAGGAATCTCTCTAGACTCATCATAGCAAAAGTCGCTTCTGCACAACTGAGCCTGCCAGCAGCACCTGTAGAATGCATTGTAGGCAGCAACAGTTTCCAGCCCGCATTGCAGAACACCTTCCTGGTCAAACTCCCAGGGCAAGTCCAAGAAATATTCAAGCCATTTCATGATGAGGACCCCATCCGACGCTTTGAATGACGTGTCAGGGAACGAGGTCTCAGCACAGTGCAGGTTATCCTCAAAAAGCAAAAGCGGGGATGTTCAGACTGTACAGGGTATGCTTCACGAATCTATGAAGACAGGGGGCAGGCAGGGCTTTTTGGTAGAAGCATGTGGTCTGACCCTGTTATAGCGCACCAGCGAAAAAAAATGTTGAGAGGCGAAAGTTGAGATAAGAGAAGCTTTATAGACTGACTGTTTACCCACCCACAAAGATGCATTTCAGGGATTTTAGGGTTGATACTGCTACATAGCCTGAATATATAGGAGCACCCCGATTCGATTTGCCAGATAAAACAGGTAAGGCTTTTAAGAGAGGTCCTTGGTGAATTCTTTGGCAAGTGGGGTCTCACCTTCCAGGCGGCAAAAAGCTCTGAAGTCCTCATACGCCTTGTTGAGTTTGCCTTGCAATGCTCGATCAGCTCCAAACAAGCCGAACTCACAGGCGAGCACAGTCGTCGAACTGTAGAAATGCCGAGCCACACCTAGATGGCCAAGATGGAAGATGTCATACCAGGCCTTCCACGCCACACCCATCCCGGGCAGCTGAGAGATGGGCGTCGCAGCAGGTTCAGGTCCAGGATCATCTGTGTGCCACCCAGGAACTCCTACCAGTTCTCCCAGCTCATCTTGTGTCGCGAAACAAAATGGACACATATTTTGGCTTTGCCAGTTTCGTTCCTGTTTCCAAACCTTTGCCTGAAATGGCAAGTCCCCGACCACACCAACAAACGCAAAGTACAGTGTTCGGCCCGAATCCAGCGAAATGCCTTCAAAACAAAAAAGAGGTGTGAGGATACAACATGGGTTGTTAGGATTATGGTCAAGGAATTGCGTCAAGGAAACAACTTGGGGACCGAAAAGAAGCCTACGCAATATATGCCTTTCACCCTGCATCAATGATTACAGGGTTGAGGAGTTAGCGCCTTTAGGGCTTATAATGCTCCATATATAATAGGGTGTATAGGGCTTTATATGGGGTTACACCTGAGGCGAGAAAAAAAACATTTGACCATGGACCTTGGTCAAAGAGACCGCGCGCTTCGAGACAGTAATGCTGGAGAATGGCATCCAGGCATTCATTGGGCTGAGTTGTACCCTTGTTGTATCCTCTGTAGAGTTCATGGGGGACCACAGTGTACAGAAAGTACCGATGCATAGAAGCTGCCCTCTCATTCAAAACTGCTTTGGTTGCCAGCGTCCAAACAGGGTGGCGCCGCTTGCCGGTGCCCTCATCCCCATGGATCAACAGTGGCACGGTGTCCTCCAATGGCCGATGCCCGAACAAAGGGTGTCCAGGATCAACCCGTTGATACTTGCGCCAAAATTGACGCAAGCACACCTGAGATTCTTCAGTGGAAACATCATAGCCGCCCAGAATTTTCTTGGAGTATCCAGACGTCAACATGAAACGCAGCATAGCCCGCAAGGAAATGAAGGAATGCATCTGCAAACCTTGACTAAAGTATGGCACTGGAATCTGATCAATGGGGATGTTCGCGCATCGCCCCACACGTTGCAAATTCCTCGTTAGGCTTTGCAGCTCATTGCCACAAGATCCATGACCTTGCGCCAGCCGCTTGAGGTCCCACATCTCTTGCTGACCTTCCGAGACTTCTCCAGCCTTGCGCTTTACAGCAGTGTTCGCCAAACACACTGCCCTTCTCGCATTTCCAGCCTCAGTTCAGGCGAGCCCGGCAAGGGGGCTTGGGGGCTCTGAGGCCTTATATAGGTTTACAGGGGCCTGCACCTATACTCACTATACTCCTGCAAGAATAGCTTAGAAAAGATGGAAGCTTCAAGCGCAACTGCAGATGCCTCATGTCAGACAGCAGAGGCGCAGAAAAAACAACAGGGTTTGGATGACCGCAGGAGCATTGAAGCCTCACAAGGGTTATATAAGGTTTTTCCACCTAGTGTATATATATATATACATTTATATACATGTACATGTATACAGGGTTTAGAGGGGCATCCTAGATATTTCGGGGGGCATAAGGCACATATAGCTTCCAAGCAGCACAGTATGCATCCGTCACTTCATCCACAAGATCACGCCCACCTGGCATGAACAGCAGTTCGCAACAGCATGGAATGGATTGGGGGCAGCATCAAGCAATGCCAGTTCCCAGCATGGAGGGCAACGCTTTCCGGTCAGGTTTTGCGCCAAACTCAGTGGTGGTTTGTGACGAGGCTGCACTTCACAGCCGGCCCAGACATTTGGGCAAGTCTCAATCACAGTTGGATGGTAAAACACCCACGCATAGGCTGATCAGCTGCAACGAGATTGCAGAATAAGTACAAAACATTCTGGCTGCAGATGCCATAAGCCTATATTTGTGAACCTTATAGACCTGTGCAGAACAAGCCGGATCTCGAAACAGGTCGGCACTGCAACAGCTTTGCACTGTCCCCTACATGTCCCTGGCCCCTGCACTAATGGCCATCATCCATGTGAGTAGGTGGCCACACTACGCATGTAAAACATTCTTCAGTTACCTCTACATACATTCAGCCCGGGCATTTGCAGGAGCCTACAGACAGCACCACCCCACACAGCACACGTAGGATTTAGGTTTACCCATCCGCTTCACACACACACACACATTTGGCATCACTCGTCCTTGGGGCCATCCTCTGGCTTGCCAGCCTTGCGTTTGGAGGCTGTCGGCTTCTTCTTGAAGAAAGTCCTCTCACGCAATAGGCTGAGCATTAAAATCTAACACAGTCTCACAGATATCATTAACCACGACAAGAAGCCTCAGGATCGCATAATGGTTGTCAAAAACGAGGCACCTTATGAGACACAGCCAGTCAAGCAGGCAACTCCAGATTCGGCAGCTCACCTCTACTGGGAGCTCAAGGGTTAGATATGCATGGCTTACAAATAGGACAGCTATACTTTCAACCTGCTTTAGGGGGTTTCAAGCCACGCATAACAAATCTTGAACCACCAAGTTTGCATACCCTAGGCTAGGGCCCGCTGCTCCACTTCCTCACAGTGCGGGCGGTAGGCGTCAGGCCTGAAACTGGAGCATGCCACAAGAGGCCGTTTTGGAATCCACACTGGATGCAGTCTAGAAGCTGGTTCTTCCGAGCACTCCCTTCAATGCCACAGATCTTGTCATAGGCACCCATCAGAGCATCTGCCAAGCATGTCAAGCTTTCAACAGGGTAGGAGTGGCTGGTAATGTCGAAGACCAGCCTAGATCACCCCTGAGCTCGCCAAGGTCTTTCCTGGAGCGCCATGGTTGGGATCTATATAGTGGGTATGTTTAGGAGTACTAAAACAGGGTACTTCATGGGCACTTTCTTTCAGCGCTTAATAACATTTGGGGTTTAGGGTTCAAGATTAATGCAGACATGGCATGCCTGGGGTCAAAGTGGACCAAACCCTCCTAAGCCACAAACCCTAAACGCTATAAACCCTAAAGCATGCACCGAGATCATCATCTCAACCATCATCATCTATATCACCGACATCACCAACACAAACTTAGCTGATCATCACCATCCTTATTTTCATCGTCATCATCATCATCACCGCCGTCTCCGTTATCAGCGTAATCCTCATCCAATCTCGGACTCGGCAATTATATTCGCAACACTACTAAGACCCTTAGAAACTGTATAAACTTAAACCCTTTACACCCTTTTCAGGGTACCTGTGTTCATACACAGGGTCTACTAGAAATAAGCTGATTACCCTCTTGGGGAGAGTAGGGTGTAAGGGTCTATAGGTACACCCCAGCCCCGAGCCCTCAAGTTGCACATCCCTAACACACCATCGCACCCATCATCATCTTTACCACCCACATCACACCAACAAACACGTGCTCCATCCTCAGCATCATCAGCATCATCACTAGCTTTCCGAAGCCATCGCTTGAACCTGACGCAGGTGCCCCCATCTTGTCATGCTTCAGCTCCAAGATCATCATCTCAACCATCATCATCTCTACCACCGACATCACCAAAACAAACTTCGCTGATCATCACCATACTTATTTTCATCATCATCACCACCATCTCCGTTATCAGCATCATCCTCATCCAATCTCAGACTCGGCAATTATATTCGCAACCCTACTTAGACCCTTACATGTATAATCTTAAACCCTTTACACCCTTTTCAGGGTAATTATGTTCATACACATGGGCTACTAGAAATAAGTTGATTACCCTCTTGGGGAGAGTAGGGTGTAAGGGTCTATAGGTACACCCCAGCCCCGAGCCCTCAAGTTGCACATCCCTAACACACCATCGCACCCATCATCATCTTTACCACCCACATCGCACCAACAAACATGTGCTCCATCCTCAGCATCATCAGCATCATCACTAGCTTTCCGAAGCCATCGCTTGAAACTGAAGTCAGCCGCTCATCAGCTTGCTTGAAAGTGGACTTGCGCTTCACAGCCTGATCTTTGTATCGCTTGATGCGCTGGGGTAGCTGGTCCTGAATCATCTCAGGGAAGGCTGGCAGCTTCTTCGAGCCTTTGTCCTCCTCTAAAGGCATGTCCAAAGCATCCGGCTGGTCAAGGTTGAACGCAAAGACCCCGTCTGGGTCCGTGAACCCATCTTTATTGATGGCCGCTAGTTCCTCCTCCAACTTCAATCGCAACAGGATCTCATCTTCGCAGCGATCCTCTAACTCCACTAAGAACTTTGCCTCGCCACTGTATTTGCACTTCCTCGCACACGACAATTGGCAAATGGGATTCGCCTACCATGCACTGCCATGCACCCCAGACACAACAGCCTGCCTGATAAGTCATGAAATGTGGTCTGCATGAGAAAGACACAGAGGATGGAAGGAAGGGTCTGATGCACAGGTCAACTACCTTCAAGCGCGAATTCTAAGCCAAGAGACTTGACCAGTCGGAGGCGAGTGCAATACTGCACCGCACCCTTGATCTTGTTCCTCAGCTCTGAGACAATAAGTGGCCCAGTAACACCCTGAGAGATCCTCCACGCAATGCCTATGTAGTCAAGGAGCTGATCCCATCCCAAAACTGCCATCTCCTTCTCAGTCAGCCATCCCCTGACGACACTTGCCTTCTGGCTTTTGATCTTCTCTCGTTTGAACATCATCAGCGTCTCCAAGCGTCCCTGGCAGCAAGTGCAAGAGCCAAACAAGTTCCTAATGAAAGAGGGGAGGCATACCCTGAACACTGTAAAGCCTATACGCCTATAGCAAACCATTCCCGCTATACTTCTACAGGAGACTGTTCAAAAACATGGAGAATTGCACCCAAAAACCACACACACACACACTCCCTAAGCCTCTCCTCCTCAAGAAGGCTCACCCATGCAATCTCATAGTAAATTCAAATACTTGTCAGCACCCTCACCTTGCCAAAGCAGTGACACTACTAGAGATGGAACACAACTTGCAGGATATTAGCAGGCTTCTTTATCGATAGACGGTACCACAGGGTAATTCCACTCGAACGTGTGCAATTGGCTCCCAACATGTGCTAGATGTATCTGTATGAGCTACTTACAGGACCAACATGAATCAATGTTGCCTTGTTGCCCTCATAGTCATTCATTCGACGTGTAGCACTTAGTCACGAAATCACGAAGAAGTTCTTGCTTCTCAGCGCCACCTGCAGATAGAAACAGCACACCCAACCACACCCCACAGCGGCCAACTGAGCAGCTCAAACACTGAAAAGCTATTCTTGAGACAGAGGGGGCGTGGAGTGGAACTTTCAGGCAGGTCGGCAGGACACTCCAGCGGTTTCGCAAAGAAAGGCTATAAACGTATCATTGTCCAGCCTGCATGCGGGTGGGGGGGTTCACAAGAGAAAGCTTGTGAAACTCTCATCGCCTGCCCTTTTCATAGGTCATGGAATCAACTATCCATGTTTTGATTTTTATGCGGAAGCGACAGCAATGGACTAGCCAACATTGCAAGAAAAAGGGGAACTTGAAAGACCGGAAACCAAGAACTCTGCCAAGCTGCCCTTATGCCAGCGATCGTAAATGTCTTTGTCACACTTTGGCTCTCCTTTATACGTCGGCTGCGTGAGGCGATAGAGGAAGTTGTACTGGAGCTTATGGGTGCTGGAGTTGATCTTGAGCTGCGCAAGCTCTTGCATTTCTTTGCACTTCAACTGTAAGGCTTCCGGCGTGAGCTCCTGATCCTGACAGCAGGCTGGAGCAATAAGGGGACCTGGGCCTGGACAACAGGAAAGAAGAGAATGACCTTGAACTTACCCATTGACCTGAATAGATTTGCATAAGCCGGCTTATAGTAACACATTACCTTAACCCCAGCTTGTGATGCACCAGGATTCACAACTCCAGGCGCAACATTCGGGATATGGGCCTTCGGCCGAGACTTTTGAAGCTTTTGAAGCTGAACACATGAACATGTGTTCACAAGCACTGCTTGTTTGGGGATAACATTATTTCTCACCAGGCACTGCTTACTGGGGATAACAAATGTTACATGGGCTTCCAGCCAAAAGGATAAAAACGAGCCTTCGGCTAAGAATTGTGAAGCTGAACACATGTTTCGCAAGCACTGCTTAATTGAGGATAACAAATGTTTCACAGGCACTGCTTTGGGGGGGGGGGGAGTAAACATAAATGTGGGCTTCCAGCCTCTGATACTGAACGCATGTTTTTACAAGTGCTGCTGACTGGGGGATAAACATAAACATGGGCTTTCGGGTATGAAAGGGCTGGTGTATAAAGTTTATCATAGCGATGTTTGTAGAAAACAAAGTTGACATATATAGGGGGCTATATACCATGTTCAATTTCTAGGATTGAGGGTCACGGGTTAAAAGGTTTACGGGGCACGGGGCAGTCCTGGCCACAGAAATGTTCTTGCATCCATTACTGCACAGCAACCCTCGCAGTGGGCCTCATTGAGCACAAATACTTGAAGATCAGGAGACCTAGTTGCAATGGGGTTGTATCACTTTTGTATATAAAAAGGAGATTGGATGAAGATTACCAATTACCAAACACACGTAGGCACAATCTGGCGGAAAGGCAAACATCATTCCCGTTTGGCTTCAGAATCTTGCAACATTCAGGGGCCACACGCTTC